GAAGAAATGGTTTGTTCTTAAAATTTTTATGCCTTCCGATCGATAGATCTGAGGCGTATATTGTTTATATCCTGTCTGTTTATCTGTTCAGCTGTTTATCGGTCTGTCTATTGTCAATTTGAACATTCGCCATAACTTTTTAACTCTGAGAGGTAGAGACTTGATATTTGGCAGGCGTACTCAACTTAAAAAGACATCAACTTCAATGACCTTGTGACCTTGACTGTGACCTACATGCTTAAAATAGTTCTTTCGTATTTTTACCATAACTTTTGAATCATAGGAAATGGAGACTTCATATTCGGTATGCATATTCCACTAATAAAGTTCTTTCAAATGACATTGAGATCAATGACCTTATGACCTAGACTGTGACCTATATGCTAAAACAGTTTTTTTTTAACTTTGTTACCGCCGGCAGCACAGTGTTTCACAAACACATCTTGTTCAATACAAAAAAAGACTTCCTGATCAACATGACCAATTCAAATATTTGATACATATTGACATTGTATTGTAGCTCAAATATTAGATACATATCTGCCTTCTGAAAAAAATATATATCTGTTTAAAGCCTTAAGTACAATCTAGATTCTACTCGTAAACCAGACACAGGACAGTACTTGATAGGGAACAGCCTAACTAAGACTGCAAAGATAAAATCCGTAACCATGCATACTATTGTTTAAGATTTGACTTCTAGATTGGTTCAAAAGTTGAAATACATGTACACTGTACTACGTTTGAGGGGACTTGGTTATCAGTCGGTCAGGTTATATATGTACATTACCACATTGTTGTAAGCATGAAGCTCTCCTGCTCTTGGCCGCTTGATCAAAAAATTTCTTAATCTTTATCTTGATGCCTCAATCTTTATTGTGATGTCACATGACATTGTAAGTGAACATGGATTTCTTTCCATCCCAATTGAAATGATCAATTTACATTCATTCAACAGTGTTTCTTATACTGCGACTGGGTATCATGTAAATAGAATGTTCTATCGTTAAAATGATATTGTCCTACGGACCCGGTTTAATGATAGAATTCGTTCCGTGTATTCGTAATGTAGCAGAAAGGAACACGTGCGATAACTCGTATAGTGCATTTATTAGGAACAATCTAGAGAATTCCGAATGTAAACATGGCAGGACGTAATAAATTTGAATCGAGAGAAAAACATTGAGAAAATTAATTGGATTTTCATATTTATATGGATTATTTTTTGTGGATAAAAGGCATAAGCAATCTCAAGAAGGTTTGATTTGATTATTTTGGTAGTTATTCCCAATGCAAATCTTTTTATATTCTTCAAAATCATTTTGGAGCGGATCCACTCCGATTTGCTACATTGCAAGTATATGGGACGTATTCTAACTGTGGTGAGGGCCTGTACCGAGACACAGTTAGATCATTCTAACTAGGTATCATGATCAAAGTAAAATATCTTACTTTGCTTTATTTGCAAATGGTCAATATTTTAATGAGCTACTTAAGAAATAAGGTATCATTTTTTGAGTTTTATTGAGATGTAAAATGGGTATGTCACATGATCAAATCCCATAAAGCCCGAAGGGCTTTATGGAAGATTTGATCATGTGTCAACCCGTTTTACATCTCAATAAAACTCAAAAAATGATATCTTATTACTTATATTTACATTTGTGACTTATTCATACTTTATATTTGCCTGATTGTTACTTTTAACATGTGAAATGCGTTAATTTTTTAAACCCAACGGCATGTATGTAATCCACTAAACGCGCTTCGACCCTTTATGACGTCACAGAGAAATTACGTGGAACGTTTATCCAAACGCACATCTATGACCTCTTGACCCCAAACCTGTATTTACACAGTTATAAAAACGCTTGCCTTCAGTAGTGTTATGTAAAAGAAAACATTTGTAAATGTAAATATAAAATATTAATGATCGAGCTACAAAATATTCTTTCTCATTTGACCACGGTCAGAATGGGAGAAGGTTGTACATTTTGGCCGTGGTTGCAACAATGGGTTAATATGTATAATTTGACTTGATTATGTTGATACTTTGTGGATTAACTACAGAATACTGCATCTGCAGATTCTAAATTTAAAAAAAATTCATTTATTTTTTATTCAATTGTAAAAATTGACCTTTAAAATCACATGGGTTTAACATGTTGAAATGCCTTAATCGCTCAGAATTTTGAGTTTTTAATTTTTTGTTACACTAAATCTGTTTCACACAATCTTTACTATTTTCATATAATCTTATTTTATAAGAAAAAAAGCATTGTTTACATACCCTCTGAGTGGTTGTAGTGACTGTACTGATGATCTATTGGTTCCTTGGATTACGACTTAAAATTCCATTTAGGCTAAAGCATAATATTTTCGCTAAAATATTCACAGGACATGCAATAAATTTTCATCTGGATTTGACATTAACTTCATCATGTTCATTGTCCATCACGTTTCCATGCTTACACGTTGCACACATTAGGGCTATTCCACCTACTGAAATCGCATCACAAAAAGGATAAATCATCGCATTTTAGCTGCAATCAATATCAAATAACTATGTTACGATAACTTCGCAAGATGAAGATTTACTTCCAACTTCCACTGTGTCGCCATTTTGTGTTTTTACGATTGCAATACGACAAAACGAAATTCGTTAAAAATCGCTATTTTTTTCGGTAAAAAGTGAAAACAGATAAAGGAAAGTCATTTAATACAAATTATAAATAAAAATTACCCCAAAAATTATTTTTAATAGCTTAAAATAGCGATGCTGTTTTTTGAATTATCCACTTCCGGCAGGATAATCCTACTTCCGGTAGCATTACTAGCATTGACCTAGTTTCAAACCAGCATCAGGATAAGGATCAAACCAGGATCAGGATAAGGATAACTAGCATCAAAATCAGCAAGCAAAGGAAGCATCAAAATCAGCAAGCATAGGAAGCACCAAAATCAGCATTGATGCTGTAACAAAATTATTTCCCTGCACTGTAGCAATTGGTCACCTAAAAAGGAAGTCAATTTACCTTATGATGTTTCCATTTCCTCATCCTCTACTATAGAAACGTCCAATATCTCGAGAACTTTGTCAATTTTACAAACATACGTTTCTCCATTTAAAGGCTCAAAGGCAAAAGCAATTCCAAGGGGTTTCGATTTTTTACCTCCTTCTACTAAATAAACTCCAGACCCAGAATCGCCTCTTTCGAAGAAACTTTTATCCTCTTTATGTCCAATGCAGTAGCAATTTCTGAATAGCTGTAATATCTTTTTGTTCTTCAATGAATTCACATTAAGGGAGTACATGGTGCATTTAACAGTGCCTCTCGTTTCACCACTTGTTCTTCCATGTTTCATAACCTCAGTTCTGCTGATACATATCGATCTTTCGGTTGCAGTCTCAACTGTAACTTGATCTGAAACAGGAATTTTGTATTAAAAATACATGCTATATGTTAATTAATATATCCTATATTTTTTTTTCAGTTAGTTCATTACAAGTTTCTATTCTACATAGTGTTCGCATGCTCATTGGTTGTGAAGAGAAAAGTGAGAGTTGAAATTTTCATACTTCCTGTGTTTCAATGGAACTGGTCGTCAATTTGAATAAAAAAATTATATGCTAAGTGCACGACTAGATTTTTTATTACAATTTTCGTGCTGATATGTCTTTGTGATGTGAATCGGCTTTTTTATGATGCATGCAGGTGATCGCTATCTGGTCTTTTCTCTCTTATATTGGATTGATTTGTCAGCCTAAGTAGTTTGTTTAGGCTGTTGTTTAGGCTAGTTTTGAATACTTTGGAACAGAAAAAAAATCATCTTTAAGGTAGATCCGTACTTTTAACATTTTCTGTCAAACTGATAAATTTTTAATTTGATTATCTTGAATAAGTCTTAAACTAACTAAAACACCCATAAACGTCGTATCTTTGCAGGTTAATTTTCATACAACATGTCTCAGAGCACATACCTCTAAAAATCAACAGCTAAAATTGACCACAAAGAAGTGTGATATCATATTTCTTTAATTATGCACCAAATCACATCATGTTAATGTTAAAACTTAGGAAGATCAAAAATATTCATTTGCTAAGGGAATATTTGAAATCTTTTCTGCAAAACATTGACAAATTGAGGTTGAATCTGTCCATATCTCTCAGAAAAAAATCTCAAAATATCTTTAATTTTTATAATTCTCAAAACCCAAACTGTTTAGATGCCATTTTTTCTTTAAACTATAAAGAATTATATCTAATGTTAACAAAAACACATACTTTATTATGGTTGACCAGAGAATTTTAACAGTCTTTTGAAGACGTATACCCCCATTTTTGGAATATCATTTTTTTTTCAACTATTTATGCAAAATGTTTAAAAAGTAAAAATTAAATGGAAAATATAGGCTCTAAATAAAAAAAAATAATCTCAGGTAAGTTTGCCTAAAAGAAAATTAAAAAGATTTAGGTCCATAAAAGCAATGAAGTTTGTGTCTGTGTATGTACAAAATGACATATAGATCTGATGGACAGAGAGCAAAGTGTTGATTTCCATAAATGATGTATATTAAATACATTGTACTTTGTATGCACAATAACACTATACATGCACAAAAAGACAAATGTATACTTGCTAAATCATTTCCTATCATCCAAAAAGATTTTATATCAATAAATAAGTGAAAATCAGAGTTTTATATTGATGTTTAAAATTAAAACCGGATCCGTAATAGTGTAATAGTGTAGTGTATTCACAACACCATTGTGGGTTAAGAACCAATTTATTACCTTCTTTTACAGGAGAGCTCATCAGATAAGAACAGTAACTCTTAATAAAATTAGAACATACATTACATCCTTCCCCTTACAAAATTTGATACTTCCCATGGACATAAGATTTAAGATAATTAAAGTACATTATAAACTGTAACACAAAATAAATTTGATGAAATATTAACTAGTTCAGTATTCAATTATGATAAACAGTAAAGTTCATTCTCGGTATCGCGCAGGGAGTTTCACACAGCGGCCACTACGGGTAAAATGCGCAGGGTTTTCGGCTGGTGGTTCGACGTCAGATCTAGCTGTCTCAGTAACGGTATTTGGTTGCACATCTGAAGCTGCTGATGTATCATTGGTGCTCTGATTGGTCTTGGTACGCAATGTGACATCGGTATACGCAGGGACATCATCTCTGGAGTTATTTCGGACACGAGTAGGTCTCAGGAATTTGCGGTTACGTCTGTAGCATCGTCCTTTGCTCTCGATGACCTATGAACGTTTTGTAGGGTGCAAGTCTTTAACTTTTCCGCTTGTCCATTGTCCTGATTGGCTCTGCATCATTACGGAGTCTCCTGCCTTGAGAGGTTTAAGTGGTTCCTTCTTAGCATGTCTGTTGAAGTTCTCTTCCTGTTTTTTCTGTCGACGTTTCATCTTGACCAATGCGTTGCCATCTACCCAAGATTTCAGTAGAGGTACGGCTGTAGGTAAGATAGACTTCAGTCTGTGTCCTAGAAATAGCTGAGCTGGTGACATATCAATACCGTCAATCTTGGTGTTCCGATACTCCAAAAGAGCTAAGTATGGATCTTGAGATTTGGTAATAAGACGTTTCATGGTCTGAACCATTCGCTCGGTCTGTCCATTACTCTGAGCATGGTACGGACTGGTCGTGGTATGTGTGATGTAATACGATTTCACAAACTCCTTGAATTCATAACTACTGAACTGTGGTCCATTATCACTAATCATGATATCCGGAATTCCATATTTGGAAATCATGCTTTTCAAATGAGTGATCACGCACTTAGAGGTAAGCAACTCCAGTTTGGCATTCCGGCCACTTTGATAAACTACCAGTAAGTAATGGTTTCCACTAAGTTCAAACAGATCCATTCCAATCTTTGACCACGGTCTTGATGGAAGTTCGCTTGGGATCATTGGTTCCTTAGGATTAGCAACCTGATATTTGGCACAAGTTGCACATGCGCTCACGAGGTTCTCTATGTCTCTTCCCATACCGTTCCAAAAGAGAATGTCTCTCGCTCGGTTTTTAGTCTTCACAATTCCTTGGTGTCCAATATGTAGCTTCTCCAGCATTTCATTCTGCATCGACTTTGGGACAACCAGTTTGTGTGACTTGTAGAGAATACCATCAATACATGAAAGTTCATCACGGAAATTCCAGTAGGCTCTAATTTCCGGTGCAAGGTCTGCTTTGTTGTTTGGCCATCCATCCAAGATTGTGTTTAAGAGTTGCTGTAACTCATCATCTTGACCTGTTTCCTTCCGGATCCTGTCCTGTACTTCCTGTGACACAGGTAAGTATGAAGTAAGATGCATCTCATTCACCTGTAGATCTGGTACTAGGGCTTCCTTAGTCTCTTTCAGATAGGAACGACTCAAATGATCAGCCAAGAACATTTTCTTTCCAGGTTTGTAAATGACTTGAATGTCATACCTTTCTAGCGCTAACACGGATCTTTGTAGTCTTGGAGGTGAAGATAGAACAGGTTTCTTGAGGATACTTTCCAAAGGCTTATGGTCCGATTCAACAAGTACACTGTGACCATATACATAATCATGGAATTTTGTACATCCATAGAGAATAGCTAGAGTTTCTTTCTCAATCTGTGAATATCGTTGTTGTGTTTCTGTCAGTGCGCGTGATCCGTACGCAACTGGCTTATCTTCCTGAATCAACACTGCACCTAGTCCATTAGAACTGGCATCTACGGACAACATCACTGGCTTATTTGGATCAAAGTACTGAAGGATCGGTGCACTAGTAGTCATGCGTTTCAGTTTCTCGTAGCTTTCTTCCTGTTCATTTTCCCATTTCCATACAGAGTTTTTCTCCAGTAATTGTCGTAATGGACTGCCAACTTCTGATAGATTGGGCATAAACTTCCCTAAGTATTGAACAAAGCCCATAAATGTTTGTAAGTCCTTCACATTATTGGGACGGTCCATTTCCTGTACAGCACGGACTTTTTCGGGATCTGTTTTCAGACCCGAGTCAGTAAATCTGTGTCCCACGTACGTCAGCTCTGAGCGTCTGATCTCGCTTTTGTCCACGCTGAGCTTCAAGTTATGTTGTCTTGCTCGATCGAGTAAGGCCTTCAAACGTCTGTCATGTTCAGCTTCTGTGGTTCCCCATACTATGATATCATCAATAATCGCCTCTGTCCCATCAAGATCCTGAATCATCTCGGATATGGCACGTTGAAACACTTCAGGTGCGGACTTGATTCCGAAGGGCATTCGAGTGAATCGATAACGTCCAAACGGAGAATTAAATGTGCAGAGTTTCGAACTCTCGTCATCTAGTTTGGTCTGCCAAAATCCAGAGGTGGCATCTTATTTGCTGAAGATCTTGGCTCCAGGCATCCTAGCTGCAACTTCTTCAACAGTTTTTAAGGGAAAATGTTCCCGAAGTATGGCACGGTTTAGGTCACAAGATCAATGCAAATCCTGATCTTTCCATTCAACTTCGTAACAGTTACCATGGAGTTGATCCATTTCGTCGGCTCGCGTTGCTTCACAATCACTCCTTCACGCTCCATTCTGTCGAGCTCTTCCTTGACCTTATCTCTCAAGGCTATGGGAATCTTGCGTGGAGGATGTATCACTGGCTGAATATTTTCATCCACCTTGATTGAGTATGTGCCTGGTAAGCATCCAAGTCCACTGAATAAGTCCTGATAATCCTGGGAAATGCCATGTGGTACAGTACGGTTTTTCCTCTCAATGCTGTGTATTCGCTGAACGAGTCCTAGCTTAGAACATGTGTCAGCTCCCAGAACAGGGTTCACAGTTTGGTCGATAATGTAGAATTTCACATATATGGCAGTATTGTATCCTTCCAGACACAGGGTAGTATAACATTACCAGCACAACGAATGTTATGTCCAGAGAACGACTTCAGCGGTGAACAGGTTGGTGTAACTTTCCAGTTTTTGTCTATTTTCTTGAGATCAGCTGATGACAAAACATTACACTTTGCTCCGGTGTCAAGTTGAAAGTGAATATAAGTGTCCTTCACCTTCACTGTTTCATACCATTCTACATCATGATTATCACCATTCACATTCACTGAACCAATAAAGAATTCCTCATCTGATGTGTCTACTGCATGCATAGTCTTTGATCTATTGTTTTTCTTTGAACTAGCAACAGCACGCTTTTTTCCTGAGTGTCACTTCACTGCAAAGTGGTTTGGATTTCCACACTTTCTACATGTTTCACCATATGCAGGACATCGTTTAAACTCTTGAGTTTGGCCACAATATTTACAGTCTTTCACTACAGATTTCTTACTTTCACTTTTAGTCGGTGCTGACTTCCGGTTGGGGGGTGCCCTACCTTTCCAGATTCCATGTACCGATTTGTCTTCCATAGACTGTATTTGCTGCTTAGAAATTTCACATGTACGCGCGAAGTTCATAGCTTTCTCTAGGGTCAAGTCTGAACCCTCACCAATGCATTTTTCACGTACCTTGTGATCCCGAGTACCGAACACGATAGCGTCTCGAATCATATCATCCTGATCCTTATATCCGCATTCTTTCACTAAAAGTCTGAGATCTGTCAGAAATTTTTCAAACGTTTCTCCCTCCTTCTGTGTCCTACTGAGGAACTTGTATCTCGAATAAACACGATTTGACTTCGGTTTCACGTGGTTTTCAAATTTCTCCTTTATCACTGAGAATTTCTTACTATCTTCCTCTGATAGGTTCCATGTTGAATAGATATCTCTTCCCTTGTCGCCAATCCATATCATCAGGTAATTACAGTGTTCCTCTTCCTTAGTTTTGCTCAATGGGCCCTTTCTCCAGAATTCCACGTGTTGTATAAACGTGCGCCATTCCTCAACGAGATCCTGGGCCTCCCAGTTAAATTTCGGCGTGACAGCTGGATTCATCGCATTCATCATAATACTTGAATCTTCTTATGTACAACTGCAGCACTTATTTCTGCAGATGGCTATGGAAAAGGGAGATATCAAACCGCTTCAGACACAATGTAGTGTATTCACAACACCATTGTGGGTTAAGAACCAATTTATTACCTTCTTTTACAGGAGAGCTCATCAGATAAGAACAGTAACTCTTAATAAAATTAGAACATACATTACAGGCCTTCCTTAAGCTCAAGCATCAATTTTAAAAAGGGGGGGCATGAAAAAAGGAGAAATGGAGACGCTTAGTCATTATTGAAAATTTTGGTTTGGTCAGGGAACAGGGAGCTTTGTAGCAACCTCTAATGATAAAACGCCGCTTAATGATACAAATAGCATTAAGCGTTGCATTTGCAACGCTCATTGTCATAAATTATTGCATTAATGAGTGACATTCCCAACCACTAATGCTAAATCGCCGCTTAATGACATAATTATATCAAAAAGCGTCACAAATGCAGTTGCAACCCTTAATGATATCAAATTTAGAAATCGCTTGCTTTATCTAAGAGAAACACACATTCACCTTTCCTGAACAATGAGATATCACTTGTCAAAATATTTATATACACGTATGATGAATTAGGGCTTTTATTTTTGAGAAGAAGATTTTTAAAGAATTTTCCTATATATTTCTATGTAAAATATCGACATATTCGACGCTTAATGATACACACTAGTGTATCATTAAGCGTTGCAGTTGCAACGCTTAATGTTATAAAATTCAGAAATCGCTTGTTTTATCTTAGAGAAACACACATTCACCTTTCCTGAACAATGAGATATCACTTGTCAAAATATTTAAATATGCCCTTGTGTTATATAAATGGTAATTATCGAAGTTTTACTGTGTTTTCTATCTAGTCAATGGAACGTCGTTAAGCCCCGGATGTTTAAGAGACATATAGTCAGATATCTAGAAGAAAGAGATACAAACAAAGGGATAAATAACCTTTTAGGTTCAAGCCTAGTTGTGCTATACGACAATACAAGATGGATGCCGATATTATCTTTTTAATCAATAATAAAGGGTACATCGAACCCGATGCATAATAACATAATAGTAATACACTACATCTCCCCCCTTTAGACAAAATTGACTTTACAGAGATAGTACAAATTTACATACAGCTTAACTTTAGCCATGTCTGTAAACGAAATAACTAATTGAACACAGGTAAGTCAATTAAAGTTTTGAACACAACTGTAGTTCGGTTCACGAACGATACACAGAGTTTACAAGTCTAGTCTCTTGGGACGCTTGACAGTTCGGCCCGAGCGCGTAACATATGAAGAAGGTTCAGTGTCAATTTCAGGTGAACGCGTTTCACTAGTTGGCGAAGGTTGTGCACTAGGAAGATTGTCCATGGTTTGTGGTTCGAATTCATCATCAGATAGTTCAACGTTGTTGGCCTTGACTGTGGATTTCTTCAAGTGTCTACGATTACGTCGTAGAATGTTCCCTCCGACTTGGACTAGATACGATCTGGGGCAGGGATGTCTGTCTACCACGGTTCCAGGTTTCCACTGTCGTTCGCCGTTGTTTGGCACGATCCTGACACTATTGTTCGGTTTTAGTGGTTCCAGCTCCTTTGCGTTGTGTCTCTGGTCAAAGTGTTTTTTCTGATTAGCTTTGTTCAGCTTCATACGGGCTTTGACTGTGTTGTCATGGTAAGCGGTAGGCTTCAGTATTTCTGTTGAAGCTGGCATTGTGTTACACTGTACGTGGTCTCCTGTTCATCAGAAGCTGGGCTGGTGACAGGTTGATACCTTCCAAGGGTGTCGTACGGTAGTCTAGTAGCGCTAGATATTTGTCATCTGCTTTCCGCCAAAGACGTTTGACTGTCTGAACGGCTCGTTCGGCTTCCCCATTGGAGCTCTGGAAGTTTGGGCTTGATGTCTTGTGTTCAATGTCGTATGCTCGACAGAATGATTTGAACTGTTGCGACGTGAACTGAGGTCCATTATCTGACCGTATTTGTCTAGGTATTCCATGACAAGCGAACACTGACTTCATAGCTTCCAGCGTTGAGGTGGTTGACGGAGATTTCAGCTCTACTACATCGACATAATGAGAAAAATAGTCCACTAAGATGAGGTACTTTTTCGACTGAAAGTCAAACAGATCACATCCTACTACTTGGTATGGAAGTTCTGGTACGGGTGATGGCTTAAGAGGTTCTGGGGATTGTTTGTTCTGATAGGTTGCACACTTTGAACAGTTTCGCACGGTTTCCTCGATCTGGGAACTCATACCGGGCCAGTAAGCTACTTCACGAGCTCTGTTTACACTTCACTATCCCCAAGTGGGACTGATGAATAAGTTCAAGCATGTGCGGTCTAAGACTCGGCGGAATAACAATCCTCATTCCTTTGAATATAATACCGTCCATGACGGATAACTCGTCTCGCGAGTTCCAGAAACTGTGTGTGCTGACAGGTGCTTGGTCTCTGGTGTCTGGCCAACCATCAACAATTATCTGGTACAATGTTTCTAGTTCCGCTTTGGTGTACTTCACGATTTCTGTTTGCTTTTGCTTGCTCACAGATAGGAGATCAAAGGCCTTGGCATCACACATGTCAAGTTCGGATTTGGCTTCAGGTAGGTAAGCTCTAGAGAGTGCGTCTGCTACAGTCATGTCTTTCCCTCTGCGATATCTCACATCAAGATCGTACCACTGGAGGCGCAAGCGCATTTTCTGTAGTCGCATAGGCGTAGAGAGTAATGGTTTCTTGAAGATCTGCTCCAGAGGTTTGTGGTCGTTGTAGACTGTAACCCGTTTACCAAATACGTAGTGATGGAATTTGGTAGCAGCATGCACGATGGAAAGCATTTCCTTTTCTATCTGAGCGTATCTTTTTTCTGTGTCAGTAAGCGCACGAGACGAATACGCAATTGGCCTGTCATTCTGTACGAGAACTGCTCCGAGGCCATCTTTCGAGGCGTCACATTGAATCTCAATGTTTTTGCTGACATCGTAGAATCCTAATGTAGGTGAGGAAATACAGAGTTTTTTCAGCTGCTCGAAACTTGATTGCTGTTCGTGTTCCCATCTGAATGCTGTGTCTGATTTCAGAAGGCATCTGATCGCTGCGTCGACTTGACTCATGCTAGGGATGAATTTGCTGAGATACTGCACGATGCCTAGAAATCGTTTCACTCCCTCCTTGTCTGTCGGTGGTGGCATTTCCTTTATTGCTCTGACCTTTTCTGGGTCTGGACGAAGACCGTCCGCCGTTATAATGTGGCCAACATAAGGCACTTCCGTCTGCCTTACTTTGCATTTCTCAAAGTTTAGCTTCAGGTTGAACGCTGTTGCTCGTTCAATTACTTTGTGTAGAATGCTGTCATGATGTGTTGTGTCTCGTCCTGCAATAAGGATGTCGTCCATTATGGCGAATGCACCATCTATGCCTTCAAGCATTTCGTCCATGATTCTTTGGTAGATTTCCGGTGCAGACTTAATGCCGAAGGGTAGCCTCAGCCATCGGTAACGTCCTATAGGAGTGTTGAAGGTCGTGAGGAAACTTGATTCCTCATCCAATTTGATCTGTAGAAATCCGGACTTAGCATCGAGCACGGAAAAAACTTTCGTGTTTGGAATGGCTGAGACAACGTCGTCTATGGTTTTCATAGGATGATGTTCCCTGAGAATAGCTTCATTCAGGTCCTTCGGGTCTATGCATATGCGAACTTTGCTGTTTCTAAGGCTGACGACCATAGAACTGACCCAAGGTGTAGGTCTACTGACACGGGTTATGAAATCATTCTCCTCCATCTCCCTCAGTTTTTCGGTGATCAGTGGTCTGAGCGACGCAGGTTGTCTTCTCACTGGGTGAACTACTCCTTTCGCCTGAGGATCTATCTTGATCGTGTGCACTCCTGGTAGTGTGCCAGTTGTTTTCACCAGTTCAGGAAAGTCATTGAACTGATCCGTCGTAGAGTCAGACATTTTAACAGGATTCATCCTCTGTATGAGATTGAGGCGTTCTGCTGTTATTCCTGTAATCACGTTTTCCTGGTGAATGTCAACTATTTCAAACTCAGCTTGAATGTTAGTGTCTTCATTCCTGAGTGGTAGTTGCACGTGAAACTCTGGACGGATTGTATGATTTGTGAATGAGCGCAAAAGTTTGTTTGATTGGCTTTTCACTCCTGATAATTTGCTCTGGTGATACTGGTGTGAAACAATGATATTGCACTTTGCTCCTGTGTCTATCCTGAATTTCAGAGGTTTCTCACATACGTGAAGAGTCACTAGCCACTTGTCTGCGTTTTCCTGACCTTTAGTATCATCTGTAGCGAGAATATCGAGTAGATCGTGCTCGTCCACATCACTGATATTCATCTGTGACTGTTGTCGCTTGCGGCATACTGATTTCCAGTGTCCAGTCAGTTTACAGTACCGGCATGTACTTTTCAGAGCTGGGCATTTGTTGTTCGGATGATTCGTACTAGGGTCCAAACCACATCTGTGACACATAGGTTTAGAGTTCTGTTGTTTTGGAACACTAGTTTTCCGTTTTGATGTCTGTCGCACTGTTTCCTTGTTGTGCTGTGGTCTAGCGGTTTTGATACTGGATACTGCCTGAGTTTCTGCGTATTCAGCTCCTTGGAACATTTTAAGCTGTTTCTGAGAGAGCTCGTATTGTCTGCCTATTTGCAGGGTTTTGGCGAGTGTTAGATCATGTCCTTGATCGAGTAAGCGTTCTCGGACCTTCGTGTGTGCAACGCCTGCAATAATCGCGTCGACAAGAATATCGTCTGTATCTGCGTACTCGCAGTCCATTAGAATCAGTCTCAAATCTTTCACAAAATTGTCAAAGGACTCACCGTCTGTTTGTTTTCTCTGTTTCACACGAAATCTCGCGGCTCTCTTATTCTTCCGGGGTCTTACGTAATCCTCAAACTTTTTCAAGATTTTCTCTGGATCATCTTGTTCCCCTTCATCCCAGGTAAGTGTTTTGTAGACTTCCCGTCCGTGTTTCCCTAGCCACATTCCGAGCCATCCCGCCTTGTCCTTCTTGTCAGCTTTACACAGGGGACCTTTGTAAACAAATTCCACATGCTGTCTGAAGCGTAGATATTCGTTATAAATATCGGGACTGTCCCAGTCCATGGACGGTTGCTCGAAATTAAGCACAGACATGGTTTTATTCTGACACCATGTGCTATACGACAATACAAGATGGATGCCGATATTATATTTTTAATCAATAATAAAGGGTACATCGAACCCGATGCATAATAACATAATAGTAATACACTACACTATTGTAAAAAAAAAAAAAGAACATCGAATTTTACTCTACACAGCTTGTGTGTTATTCTTCAAGTGAAATACATTTTTGCAAATAGGTGATGCATGAGTCTAATTTCAATTTACATGTTATGCATCCAACATTTACTTGAGGAATTGATAAAGTTTTAAAAGGGTACCATTTTTGTTCGACTCTCATCCGACTGTAAGTTTTGAAAATATTCTCTACTATGGTCTCCATCATTTAGACGCATGCCTTTTTCATACACATCGAAGCGGTTTGATGATAAAGCCTCATTTCCATTGTTTACTTGATTTATTTCTCGGGCGACAATTGATGGTTACATCAATGTTTTCTTGTTGTTACTATAGATAATAATAATCTGAGAGACTGCACAACAATACATGACCTATGGCCATCATTACCTAGTGGATTATACAGCATTATTATCCCAGTCCTTGGTCACGTGACTGTATTTTGTGAAATGGCGGCTGATGGCGGAGGGTGGACGGTAATATCAGTTTTATAATAAATTTAAACCAAACCTTAAGATACCTTAACATAGCCTTAAGAGCTTACTGATTTTCATAGCACATAAAATATCTAAATCGTTAAAAAACCCAGAAACGTCAAATAAATTATTCTGATAAAGTTATTATAGATAATGTTTAAGGAAAACAATGTTATTGTGATGAGATTAAGAAAAGTGTATACATGTAAATATAAATTATAAATTAATACTGCAAATATTGTCATCAGTCATGAATTGAAACTTTAAATATACTGTTCTATTTTGACGAGATTCAATACACAATAAATCCTAAAATAGGATCATGTGATATTTACAAATGTACATTTTTTTAAGGACAGGTACCATATTTTTTTCTCTTGACAGTATATTCTATAAGAATTTTATACATAAAGGTTTTTCAACGCCGAATGGACGGTTCTGAAGACTTTTATCGAACTTGGTCTGAATACAGGAACGGCTTCGGAAATTTGACAGGAGAGTTCTGGCTAGGTAAGATTGATTTTTTGATTGGTTGATACGGTTTAATATCTAGTCGGCAATTTTTCAGCCGTATTTCGGCGATGAAAGATTTCGTGGATGCACAAAGGCGTGTTTTGTACACAGTACGATGATTTGAATAAAAAAAGGCGTAGCAATTTAATTATCATCCTTAAATATTTACATTTGGAAATGTAATATAAAAACAAGACTTTTCCCATTCTTTTCAACGTTCAGATTCATATGTACTCTGGAATCCGTGGAACCCCTGATAAACTTTTTTACGAGCTAAGGCTAATTGCAGACGTCCTCCGGTGAAATTATTAATTCTCGTTGGTTTTTTTTTATCTTTTAACCAATCAGATTAAACTTTTCGGTTGTGCACTATTTGTTTTAACCAATCAGATTAAACTTTTCGGTTGTGCACTATTTGTATCACGTGCATGAAGGAGAAAACAATAGATTACCATTTGATTTTCCATGTCAACTTGTGAACGTCCTTATTGATTAGTACTTCTCAAAAAGATATAACTGGCACGAAATAACCGACTGGATTTTGACAGGAGTCCCAGTGCCTGTTGTGGTTTTGATTAAGAACCCCTGACCACAACTTCATGTACATGTACCTTATTTTCTAAATACTTTGTAGGCAATGAGAAGTTGTCTCGTCTACTTAGTCAAGGTTCCTACGAGATGAGAATGGATATGGGGGATTTTGACAACCAGACACGTTATATCAAATACTCCACCATCACTCTTGGTGACGAAGCCTCAAAATATGCCATTTCACTATCCGGCTACTCTGGTGACGTAGGTATGTAATTTATTAAGTGATTTAAGCTCAGCTAAAAGCTCGAATGAGCTTTTCTGATAACTTTTTATCTGCTGTCTGTCTATCTGTCTGTCATTTAACTTTTCACATTTCCAATTTTTCAAAAAACCTTTGGGAGAACATTTACAAAACAAACTTGTAAATAACCATTCTTAGGCTAACCGACCTGCCTACCCTTCCGCTTTTGGCGTAATTCTTCCGCTTTATACCACAAAAATACGCTATTACGCCACTTATATTAATTTTACGCTTTTGATGAACTGGTTACCGAATATTCGAACGAAGACGAAAAGGCACTCCTTACGTTAACTTTTAAATTATATTTGCGATAAATACAGCTATTTCTAAGCTCAATAGAGAGAAATGTGAGTGTTAAAAAAGATAAAATACAATGTTATAATGTACGATTTATGTAAACATGCAAACGCAAGCCTTCAATTAAATTGACCAAATGCTTCAATATGGGTGTACGGTTGAATCGAGTTTGATATAGGATACTGATATTATACAACAGTTTTTTTTAATAATTAAATGATTCGAAAAAGAAAAGTTTATGCCAGCTTTGTTTAGTAATTTTGTTTTGAAAGAAAATAAAGTATTATAGTAAAACAACAAAATAGGAAAACATGATTGATTGCGCTTTTATCTCTGAAATTCCACCAAAAAATAAACTGAAATTACACCTTTGCAATGAAAAGGGTATGCAGGTCTGGACTAAGGTTGCTCATTACACCCACAGTTTATTTTATATTTCTTTAACTATAGCACCACTTTTAATGTATATATCAAATATCCAAATGGAGGTGTTGATATCAAAAATATTTTCTAGAGAATGTTTAAACTTTTTTTTAATTTAGTGAAATGTGTTATTTATTAAGTTTATTATAACCAGAATTTCAGAACTTTCAGTGTCAAATGATGGACATATTCTCTAGACAAGTACACACAATGAAAATACCTCATAATACCTAATATTAGTTTCATTAGAAAAAATACTTTTCTTCTAGAAAAAACAAATGCCACTATCTTTTTAATCTGTCCATGAAATTTTAGGAAAATGAGCTCTGAAGAGACAAGGAATGTATTTCAATGAATTGCATGTGACAAATTGAATGAAGAATGTCTCAACGAAATGAAAATCCCAATTTAAAAAATATTTGGTATAAAAAGTCTACTTTCAAGAGTTATCTTTCCTAATTACGCAAGACTCAAAACACTAAGTAACGCTTGAACATTATCTCTAAAATTCGGAACAAAGCAATAACTTTCCAGAGTATACTGTTAAATTACATATTTTCGTGGGGTTAAATTTTCGAGGTTTAAAGAAAAAAAATATTGGTTTGTGGGGATTTATATTCGTGGTTGGACAATGATTTGCTGTAATACATATGAAATTTTACAATTCACGGTGGTCATAAATTCGTGGTAGGTCTCTCCATACCTCATAAACAACGAAAATTTAACCACACGAAAATTAGTCACTTCACAATATATTTAAATCAATAAAGCAAGTGTTTAATTTAATTTATTTAAACAATATTTTATTCACTGATGTTATTGTGAATAGGATTGGGCAGCAAGCGCAGCCTATTTTAGCCCTTTCAACACCAGCACAGTAAATAGTGCAAGTAAATGACTTTTTTTATTTCAACAAGGTTGTAGATTTTTACTCAGATTTCCTCCATACAATACAAGTCATTGATTGATAGAGCCCATTGCCTCGCTGCGACATTGCACGTTTTCTTTTTTTCTGCTTCAGGTCAGGTGACTCGTTCCTCTAATATATCTTTCGTAATTTTGATATTATATAAAAAAAATTATGCATATTTGTCACTTTCTTCTGATTACAATTGTGACAAAGGCCATTCAGATGATTATGTATATGGGATATATAAGAAATATGACCCTGTGGTATCTTGTCCAAATGCAAGGTAAGGTACCCTAATTTTTATGCGAGGAAACTTGCTTAAGTACCTAGACTTCGATGACAAATTCTTGGTAAAAATTATATATCTGATCTTAAAAGCAATCTTTTTTTGGTTTATACAAAATGAATCTGTTACTTTGTTTTCAATATTTCGCACGTGTCATTTTTAAAGCGTTTTAAGGTGGCTCATTACACCCACAGTTTATTTTATATTTCATTATAGCACCACTTATTATAAAGATGTCAAATATCCAAAATGGAGGTATTGATATCATAAATATTTTTAGTGAATTATTTTTAAACTTTTTTTATATTTCAGTGAAATGTTTTATTTCAAGTATATTATTACTAATAGCAGAATTTCAGGACTTTTATTGTCAAATGATGGACATATTCTTAAGACAAGTATACACAATGAAAGTACCTCAAAATACCTTACATTAATTTTAATAAAAAACAGTTTATTCCTGAATAACAACTGAAGTCATTTTCCTTTTAATTTGCATAAAATATTAGGAAAATGAGCTCTGGAGAGACAAGTAATGTATTTCAATGAATTGCATGTGACAAATTGAATGAAGAATGTTTCAACTTAAAGAGATTCCAATTTTAAAATATATTTTGTATGAAAAGTCCACTTTCAAGAGTACCTTTCCTAATTATCCAAAACTCAAAGATCAGATAGGTTTAAAAAAACAATGATCACTTTGAATTTATAATTTTACTAGTGACTAAGGACCATCATGACCATTTTATCGTTACAAATAGGGGTCAAAATACCGTATAAGTAGAATTTTTAGCGAGGATTTAATATTGGCATTATAAGCGAGGGAGCCAAGATCGCTAAAATTGAATATCGCTAGAAATCCATTGCGTTTTATTTGTAATAGCTTCTTTAATGTGCAATTTAAAATCGCTAAAATAACATCTTGCTAAAAATAAATTACCAGTTTTTAAGGACATAATTTACCTTTTTTGCAGATGATTGCTTTTTGACCGGAGTACCTGCCGCCCATCTAAACAACATGAAGTTCAGCACAAAGGATCAAGACAACGACTTGTACTCTCTAAACTGCGCGATCAAGTTCAAATCCGGTTGGTGGCACAATGCGTGCCATTGTTCTAATCCAAACGGACTCTATTTGGCGGGAAACACCACCATATTTGCTGAGGGTGTTGTGTACGCACCTTGGCGTACGTATTACTACTCGCTAAAATCCATGCGATTGATGGTTAAACGGACTGCGTAAAATGATGTACTTGAAATAGATACGCATACATGAAGTATTGTTATGCACAGAAGAGTCCTATGCATTATCTGAATAAATTCAATGATAGATGTTTAGACTATGACACTGATTCGTTTGTTTAGGTAGGTCAGTGATGCCCCTAATGTGCAATTCCTTAGATGATATGACCATTAAAATTTTATGAATATAATATACATGTTGCGACACATGGTTATTTTGATTTTTCATATGAATCGATATCTTTAGGAAGTGTCATCAAATTTATGTTTTTCAGTAAATTAATTTAAAGTTGTCTATTTGTATATTTATGGACGTACTTTGGTGTTGCGTCGTATTGAAATATTAATGCTCTTATTCTGTAATTTGGTGCATAATTAAACTACATATCATGTGCTAACTAAAACAAAGGAATCGTCAGCATTTTTTCACCTGTATGACTGCACATTGTAAAAATCTGCAAGGTGGCAGAATGAACATTGAATCAAAACCTTTTTAGCGATTTGGACTACTCAACATTATATAATTGCTGGTTTTGACAGCTGGTATTCTGAATGATTAAGGTTCTGTCATGATGCCTGAAGGATCCAAGGAAACCGTAAGTGTAGAAAATTCTTATAAAGTAAAGAAATGCAGAAAAGATTTATTGAAATAACTGACGATCAAAAAGTCATTTCTTATTAAGAGAAGAAAAAAATAATGTTGGAAAACACGGTCTGCTTTTAAAAAATCGCTGGCTGGCTGCAGCTGATTCCTATCAAGATATAAGATGCCACAATGTGAACAATTCGACTTTATACGGTCTGGTCATTTCAGTTATCAATCCTACAAGCTTACAAGTCAGAATATGAGCAAGACACATCACTAGCTTTCATTGCCATATTGAAATGTACATCAAATAACAACGAAATCTCTTTATAGTATAGTAGTTGACAAAGGGCAAATCAAATTGTTAACCACCGTTGAAAACACTATGTGTTTGTGAACCACTGATGCCACCGTATGGCAACACAACTTTTCTGAAATGCAAATTTTGAGCCAAGGTTAAAGTTTTTTCATAAGTACGGACATCTTCAAGGTCAAGGTAATTGATATCCCATGAAAGGTCTTGCCACAAAAAATACAAATGTGAAGTATGGAAGCGCTAGCCCTAACCGTTCAGAAGTTATGGTCAAGGTTAAAAATGGTAAAGAGTAGGTCAAACTCCAAGGTCAAAGTTCTTGATATCAAATGAAAGGTCTTGTCACAAGAATTAAATATGTAAAGTATGAAAGCACTCGCCCTAACCCTTAAAAATTTATTGTCAAAGTTTGCTTTTTAAAAGTTGGCAAAACTCCAAGGGCATGGTCTAAGTTCTTGTTATCCAATGAAGGATCTTTTCATAAGGATTACATATGAGAAGTATGAAACCACTAGCCCTTACCGTTCAAATGTTATGGCCAAGGTTAAAGTTTTGAAACTTTTTTAAACAGAAGACAGAGAGATGGACGGACACACTAAAATTTATTTTCCCCAAAACTTTGTTCACGGTGGCATGAAAAATCTCTTAAAGCGAAAGGAAGGTTAACAATTGATACATTTGACTTACTGAACATAGGAATTCTTAATTTGAGTTATGTATAGTACCTTGTGGTTATTTAAATAATTACGTAGGGGGTGTCCTGTAATGAAACAAATATCTGTGTGAACAAAGCTTTAAAATATTTATTAAATCCAAAACTCTTTTGGCATCTATAACCTTGTTTGCTTAAGGTAGGATT